ATGATTTAGCAAAAATCTATGCCTTATCCAGCAACTTGAGCAACACGAAAAATTCTATTCTGTTCAAGTCACTAAAGGAATGAAGTAATTATAGTGCTTTTTGAGTGCCTTCAGCTCTATGCGCGGGAGCAGTATCCTGTTGGAATGTCAGCTTTGAGTTTTTTCAGATAATCAATTGCGAAAGAGAAAACATAACAGCTACTAAAATGAATTTTCGTTAGGTTACGAAAAAACATTAGTTTTAAATTTTGCTCAACAACTTGTATTATTGAGTAGGTTTATTTGTACAAAAATTCTTTTTTTCAAAAATTAGTTTTGGCAAAATACAAAAATTTCTTAAAAGAGGAATTTAAAAATTTTACAAAAAAAAAAAATAAGTAAATAAATAATCTAAAAACTCTAACCTAAAATTCAATTTTCATCAGATTTGATTAGTGATATATACAGGGTGATTCTAAAAGGATGGGAAAAATTTTAGGAACTAATAGTACACACCCAGACAAACAATTTTTATCGAAGAATGCATGGTCGAAAACAAAAGTACGAACGATTTAGACGTTTAAATTTATTTTTACGTTTATAAAATAGCTGTAGGTTAATTACTGTGTAGCTGTTTTTTTTGTAATTACCAATGGTTTTAAAAACAGGTTATATTAAAATTTAAAAATACTCTATTTATTATTGTGGTTTCAATTAAAATCATATCCAAAAAGATTTCTAAAGCATAACTCTGTGATTAAACTGCAGGACAAAATGACATGGGTAAATATTTATATATTTCATATGCACAATTGAAAATTGCTAACCTCGATTTTACAAAACGGTATTATAAATACAAATCTTGTATTTTCGATTGATATGAACTTGAGGTGAAAAGTTTGACTGTAAGAAACAGCATGATTACCTAGAAATAATCCAAAATAAAGCAAGCAAGAATGAATATTTTGAATCAAATATTTTCTACTAGCATTATTTTCAATATATTGAAGATGAAAGTTTTGCTGTGATTTTATTCTGCTGGGCTCTGAAAATGGAGAATGTTTATCAGAATTAAATGTAAAGAAGTTTGTGACTGATGTATATACATAAAACTTATTTCTTCAATGAAAGTTTTCCATTGAAATGTGGTTCATTATTTTTTTTCAATACATAAATAAAATTTCTATTATGTCCATATATTTAGACTTTAAGTAGGTAACATATTATGCATTTAATATAGTAAATAAAAAATAGAGTGTAGAGGAATTAAGCTTTATCACTTTTGTTAATGAAAGATCAATCAGCAAAATTGAAACCTTTGAGCTTTATTTTAACAGCAACAATATAACGAAATTCGGTAAAAACTGATAAAACTAATCTTATCATTGTATATAAATAGTTTTTGAATACAAAACTAGTAAAAATGGCACATATATATTGTATAAAATGAAAATACCCTTTTTAATGTTATATACTATTCTCATATTTATATTTTATACAATATTCTATACTTCTTTTTCTTCTATACTTCTTTTTCGATATTATTTTTTTTATTTTAAACAATGTTCTGTACATTTTAAGAAAGCCTTGTAAAATTTCAGGTAAAAAAAAACCCCATAATTCTGGTTGATGAAACCAAAATAGACGACATTTAAACCATTTTATGGTAATTCATCCGTTGAAATGCGTTTACAGGCAATTCTTACCTTTAAATAGTTTTTATTACCACACATTCAGTAAAAAATGCAAAATAAAAAATAAATTTAGCCGATAAAGGTCCACGTTCTAAATTACCTAGGAAGAAATTACAAAATTTTAGCCCATTTTCCCAATTTTATTACCTATATTATAAAACCATATTTCGTTGCTAATTATTCCTAAATCCTTACCATGTAGAATATTGTGAGTGCGTGTTCTTAATATATCCACATGAAGTGAGAAAATTTAATTATTTATCCAACAATAACATAAAGATAGAACAGATAAACAAATTTACCAAAGCTATTGCGCTACAACCGTCACTCTCGTTTTTCTTCGGGTAAAACAGAAATGAAAGTTGACATATTCGATTATAAAGAATATCGTTTCGGAACGGTACGGTACTTTTACTTACGTCGCACTAGAGCTGCACAATGTACTATTAGCAACTCTCTGGGAAACGCCCCTGAGGATGTTTTCCAGATAGTCACCAGTATTAGACATTCGGTGACAACATACATACGTCACATCCCGTTATACAGGGAGGATACATTCATGCACCTTCCAACCGAAAATCGTAATTTTGACCTGAATCAGAGCACAATCAATCTCCTATCCAGTTCCTCCAGAGGTGATGATTTGTTATGGGAACTTGGAGAACATTAGGACCCCGACAGATTTAGCTTTCACCAGTCACCATTTTTTACACGGGGAGACTTCTGCCGACGGGGATCGAACTCACGACCTCCCGGATGTGAATTCAACTCCCTACCAGCTAGGTTATCACTGCTTTGAAAAAGAATTTCGATTTGCTATTAGATTAGGAAGATATTGAGACGCTACTACCAAAAAAGTTCAGTAAAAATTATCGAACTAATGGTTAGAAATAAATCATCAACTAAAGTGCATTTTAATTTTTATTCTATATTCAGTTTTTGATTAGGAATTTATAATACTTATAAAACTGTACAACTGAATTTTATGCAAGAAAAGAATTTCAATATTTTAATTCGGAAAAAGTAATGCTTGTTCATTGCGACTAACCGCAATTTTAATTCCATTACACTGTAAAAAAAAGCTGTTTCTAGTAAAATGCTTTACCTTAACTGCAAAACATGCTTTACGCAAGGAAATATGGTAGTGTAGAGTGCAAAAAGAAAAAAAAAACATTTCATATTGAATATCTTTTGATGTGATGATCTGATTTTCATGTACTAGGACATAATGATTTGAGAGCCTAGCTTTCAATATGCTAACTAATTAATGCAAATTATAATTTAGGTTAAGAAATCAGATACAAAATCATAATTTCACTAAATAAGTCGATTTTTTTGTTGTTGAAAGATTTGGATTTCGATCCCTCAAAATATGAGTGGTAGTGCAATCTGGAAAATATGATTCAAAAGTTTGATCAGGTGGGTTGTCAGATGTTTGGATGCCAAAGTGCTAATACTACTCTTTGCGTATTGTGCCATGTCTCGAAGACGTTTTAAGTGAATAGAAGAATTTTTGTACTTAATTATAAAGTTCGCGTCTTTAAAGATCTTTGGATCTTTGGATTTCGATCCCTCAAAATATGAGTGGTAATGCAATCTGGAAAATATGATTCAAAAGTTTGATCAGGTGGGTTGTCAAATGTTTGGATGCCAAAGTGCTAATACTACTCTTTGCGTATTGTGCCATGTCTCGAAGACGTTTTAAGTGAATAGAAGAATTTTTNCTAAAGTGCATTTTAATTTTTATTCTATATTCAGTTTTTGATTAAGAATTTATAATACTTATAAAACTGTACAACTGAATTTTATGCAAGAGAAGAATTTCAATATTTTAATTAGGAAAAAAGTACTGCTTGTTCATTGCGACTAACCGCAATTTTAATTCTATTACGCTGTAAAAAAAAAGCTGTTTCTAGTAAAATGCTTTACCTTAACTGCAAAACATGCTCTACGCAAGGACATATGGTAGTGTAGAGTGCAAAAAGAAAAAAAGCATCTCATATTGAATATCTTTTGATGTGATGACCTGATTTTCATGTACTAGGACATAATGATTTGAGGGCATAGATTTTCATATGCTAACTAATTAATGCAAATTATAATTTAGCTTAAGAAATCAGATACAAAATCGTAATTTCACTAAATAAGTAGATTTCTTTTGTTGAAAGATTTGGATTTCGATCCCTCAAAATATGAGTGGTAGGGCAATCTGGGAAATATGATCCCCAAAAGTTTGATCAGGTGGGCTGTCAGATGTTTGGATGCCAGATAGCAGAGACTTTAGTCTATATAATGATTTAAAAAAATATATATTTTTAACCTGTATTTTATCATCGTCCTATATGGAAGACAGCTCCAATTTGTTGAATTTTTACAGCAGATATTGTCACATTTAATTATTTTTTACTTCTAAAAGATGCATTTACATTAATTAAACTTATTTTATGATTAATTTTAAGTTTTTCAAATTTTTTTTTAGACTTTTGTAAATAGCTAATTTTTACTACTTTATTTGACGCTAATTAAAACTTGATTTTAAATAATTGCAAGAAGAAAACAGCAAATTTGTTTTGGAATTTATAAACCCCAAGCCTTTACCATTTCATTTGAGTAAAAACTGAGTCGGAAAATGTATATTTAAACTGGTTTTACAAGTAATTTAGAAACTGGTTAGCAATTAGAACATATATAGAGGACAATGGTAAAATCCCCTAAAGGCATCCACCTGAGAAATTTAATCTGGGTTTCTCGGAACATAAGTACTGAGTTTGCTTTTAGAACAATTGCATTCTAACAATTTAAGAGGATCATGAATATTTAATGCCATTGAGCAATGGATTTGATTATGGTGACTCTAAAATGGTAATATTGCCACTTCATCTAGACGTAGTCACTGATGATGAAGACATTGATGATGCTTGCATTGAACATGGACATGCTATATTTGATGAAAAACCAGCAGACGAAACTGCAGGATCTATTGAAGTTATAAGGCAAAAACTACTGAAGAAATAAACATTTCATGACCAAAATGGACTAATCGAAATTTTTGTCAACTCCTGAGTTTATTTCGTATTGAGCATCGTCAAACAATAGTGTACATGATGATGTACACCAGAAATGATGGCTAAAAATATTATTGCGTAAATGGTACATGAAAGTAACAAGTATGCAAGACAAAAAAAATTCTAGAATTTCATCTAAAAACTGATAAATGTAAGCAATTTTTGGGAATTATGTTCTTTAGCAGTTATCACATTTTTCGTAGAGAAAAAATTTGCTGGGAAAATGCCCTTGACGTTGGAAAAAATGCACGTTAGTCAAGCAATGTCGAGAAAAAGGTACTTTGATATCAGGAAGTATTTACACTTCAATAGCAAGACTGCTATTTATTCCTCATTTCGCGATTACAAAGTTCGTCCAATTTATGAACTGTTTAATGAGGCTATACAACAATTTCGTGTGTCTTGGGAACATCTAAATTTTGATGAAAGAGCAGCTCTTTATTTTGGAAAACATGGTTGCAAAATGTATAGAAAAGGGAAACCCGTGAAATTTACTTACAAGCTCTGGATGCCCACATCTTTCGATGGATATTCTTTTCATATAATGACATATCAAGGAGCAAAGCAAGATATTGAGTCTGGCATAAAGAAAGAAAAAATGTCATTATCTCAAATGGTTGTTGAAAATTTACTATCAATTGGTGAAACTCCAGCAAAGCACAAAATTTATATGGATAACTTTTTCTCATCTTATGATCTTTTCGCTACCCTCAAATGTAAAACCTTTGATACAGAAACTGTTAGAAAGAATAGAATGGGAAAAAATTCCCTTCAACGTTACCTAAAATGTTGGGAAAGATAGATCATGGAACATCCGACTGAAAGTTTGACTCAAGAAATGAAATTGCAAAATGCAATGAGAAATGAAAGTCTTTTCAAGATAGGCCATTATTCATAAATGCATTTGAGATATCATTGGTTGCAGCATGGAAAATTTCCAAACTTTTTGTGCCTGAACAAACTCTAGAACTCCTCGAAGTTCGTCGACACATTACAGTACATTACCTAAAATTGAGGGTATCTTGAAATATGTAGAAAGAGGCTTATGCGTTTAACAAAGAAAGCCGTACTGCTTGAAATTACAAACTGACCAAATAATAATAAGAAATCCTAATGGGAAAAAACAGCGTTGTCAACTTACAAAAATTGTTCAAAAGAACCTAAGACTGTGTGCCAAAAATGTAATTTTAGACTTTGCGTCGAATATTTTCTGCCATTTTGTGTAAACCAAGAGGCTTGATCACAACACATTTAGTAGTAGATTGGACCATTGTCCTATATATACGACGGCTTGTAAAAACTGTTTACAGGTTTTGGTGAATTTTCTTAATATCATGTTTTACTTGGTGTTTCATCAGTATGTGATAGAATTTTTTTCAAAAAATATTAATTTTAATTAAAGATGGTAAAATATGGGTTAAGCCTATATCAACTCAATATTATGGTTCACCTTAAGATCTTACTACAACAGATCTACAAAAACTACAAGAAATTTACTCGCTTTCATGGTTTATCTTAAGTACTTACTAAGATAGAAGTTAATTCACTCGATATAATAGCTCAACAAAACACTGTTTTTAGGATATAGCAAATTTACTCGACATCATGATTCAACTTAATTTGTGAAAATTACAGCAGATGTGCTACTCTTCGATTCGCTTAGCTAAATTGCTTACAAATGTTGAAACTCATTTACTCATTTTAATGGATCAAAAAACGCCATATTAATGTCGTATCATTGCATCATTTTCATTTACTCGAACTTAAGGAGGTTTTTACGTCTAGAAATTTAAAAAAAAAAATCAAAACTTTTTATTGCAAATTTCAATATTTTCTTACAATGAAGTATCAAGTTTTGCAAAAGGCGTATTTCAGATCATCTTGAAAGCTCGGAGCATCTCGCGTCTGCATTCAGCTAAGAAGACAGATCTGCGAGCCGGGAGAAGGAATCGAATGAATGAGTTCAAGAAATGGGTGCAGTATGGTCCAAATATCCCTGGTTGGTGCTAAGTACCAAAAAAATTGAAAATGAGAAACGTAACAAAAACAATAAACGAGATTCTCAACATCATGTTTTCTTGTTGAGCGTTTGGATTGCAGAAAAACTACTTTGAAAGCTTGCAGATAATTGGTATGACTAAGGTTTTAGCCAACAAAAACGAATTTTTTTATGTACCTTTAAATGCCAAAGAAAATTGACTTGCTTTCTTTTTTTTGTAAAGAAGAAAAAAAACATTTGTCAGATTTATTTGAATCTAACCGTAGCTCATACATAATCGTTGATTTCTGATCTCGTTTGTTTCAGATTATACTGAATGGATAATAAACTATGTCTATTCATCAGTGCTCGGCATGCACAGCTATCTTTGTCATCATATTCATATGTTGAAGTCATCATGCTCATATGTTAATTTATAATTATTTTGGCAATATAACTGATAAAGGACGAAATAAGACCAGGGAATCATTAAATAACTTTTACATTCATTTCACTAAAAAAAAAAGATAAAAAATGAGTCTTAAATCGGACCAAGAAACCTTCAAAGACCTAATGTATTAAAATTACAGCAAATTTATTCAATATCAGGGCTTACCTTAATGCCTTATTATGGTTTCAGTTAACTTACTTTTATCAGGGTTTTTCGGACAACAGAGTAGTCATATGTTAAAAGATTGCTCTTCTTAAAATCTCAATTTTTTTCAGCTGAGCATTTTGAATTTAATTTCTGTCCTCTAGATTTCTGCTTTTTTTATTATATATATCCGTCGTTGAACAGCCGACCCAATTTTGGGTTTACGACTACTAATGTTCAACTCCGTAGCCTTGTAGTTTTGATTCAATCCAGAAGACAANCTAAATTGCTTACAAATGTTGAAACTCATTTACTCAATTTAATGGATCAAAAAACGCCATATTAATGTCGTATCATTGCCTCGTTTTCATTTATTCGAACTTAAGGAGGTTTTTATGTCTAGAAATTTAAAAAAAAATCAAAACATTTTATTGCACATTCCAATATTTTCTTACAATGAGTATCAAGTTTTGCAAAAGGCGCATTTCAGATCGTCTTGAACGCTCGGAGCATCGTACGTCTGCATTGAGCTAAGAAGACAGATCAGCGAGCCGGGAGAATACAGTGCATGCCATCGAATGAATGAGTTCTAGAAATGCGTGCAGTGTGGTCCAAATATCACTGATTGGTGCTAAGTTCCAAAAAAAATGAAAATAAAAGACGCTATAAAAACAATAAACGAGATTCCCAACGTTATGTTTTCTTGTTGGGCGTTTGTATTACAGAAAAACTACTGGAAGCTTGCAGATAATTGGTATGACTAAGGTTTTAACCAACAAAAATCGAACCTTTTTTTATGTACCTTTAAATGCCAAAGAAAATTGACTTGATTTCTTTTTTTTTGTTTTCTTTCTTTGCTAACTTTTTTTTCACATGACCACCATTTTGTGAACAAAAAAACATTTGTCAGATTTATTTGAATCTAATCGTAGCTCATACATAATCGTTGATTTTTGATCTCGTTTGTTTCACATTTTACTGTATGAATATCAAACTATGCTTATTCATCAGTGCTTGGCGTGCACAGCTATATTTGTCATCATATTCATATGTTGACATCATCATGCTTACATGTTAATTTATAATTTTTTCGGCAATGTAACTGATAAAGGACGAAATAAGACTAGGGAATCATTAAATAACTTTTCCATTCATTTCACTCAAAAAAAAATTAATTAAAAATGAGTCTTAAATCGGACCAGGAAACCTTCAAAGACCTAATGTATGAAAATTACAGCAAATTTATTCAATATCAGGGCTTACCTTAATGCCTAACTATGGTTTCAGTTAACTTACTTTTATCAGGGTTTTAACTTAGAATGGTTTTTCTGACAACAGAGTAGTCATATGTTAAAAGATTGCTCTTCCTAAAATCTCAATTTTTTTCAGTTGAGCATTTTGAATTTAATTTCTGTCCTCTAGATTTCTGCTTTTTTTATTATATATATCCGTCGTTGAACAGCCGACCCAATTTTGGGTTTACGACTACTAATGTTCAACTCCGTAGCCTTGTAGTTTTGATTCAATCCAGAAGACAAGGAAACTCCCCCGGAGGTATTGAAATGACTTTTGGATTTTGAAAAATTATTTAATTAGTGTTTATTTTATAGAATTTATGTAGCTTCTGAAATTAGCTCAACGCACTATCGTTCATTTTTATTAAAATTTATGCAAATCTCTCAAAATTTCTTATCGCTCACCCATATATTTTAATTATTACATGTTTGATTTTGTAAGCACTGCTATTTTAATTAAGCAACGCAAAAGAGCTACTGACGAAAAGCATTCACTGTGTTTAAGTAAAATCATAAAAACTGCTCTTTTTGAGCTTAATAAAGAGGAAAAGATGATAAATAAACATAAATCTGTCTAGCACAGACATTAGAGAGCAATGAAAAGAATACTGTTTCAAGCCAAACTAATTTATAATCCCGGATTCTCTTATGCGGATTTCATTACTATTCCAAACATTTTGTTGCTATAGCCTAACACAAATTTACTCACAGGTTCATCGCAATGACGTAAATAGTTAATATAAAAATCGATAGCAGAAGAGAAGCATGTTAGAAATTGGTATACGCATAGCCTATGGGAGAAGTATGTTAATTAGTGGATATGCAGCGAGAATCGAATTCAAGAAATTCAGATAATGCAGATTAAGGCATTAAAGTTAAGATATTTGGACGCGGAAATCAAAGTTGACGAAGATAGTTGCAGCAATTGTTTTATAATGAATATTTTTGAATAGTTTGTGAAGATAAGAAAATAAAGTAGCTAATATATTTTTTTGCAAATTTTTGACTTCTTCAAATTAGTTATAAAGTAGCAATTTGAAAATAATTTTTCAGTCAGAAAATTTTTAATTGCTTTTTTCCTCTTTTTAGACGAAGCATGCTTGAAGAAATTGCTGTTTTAATGCAAATAAAACATACTAACAATAATAATGAGCACAAGCAATAAGATCGTCTAAAGTATATTCAAGCATTAACTAATGTATCTAATATATTCAACATTCCAATATATCATTATATTCATATATTAACTAATTGATACATTTGTTAGAATTAGCATCTTAAAATAGGTTTTTAGTTGAATGAAGAATGACAGTTTATATTTAAAAACAGTATAATAGCATGTAGCGACAGTATAATAACAGTATAATAGCATGCATCAGGTAAGCTCAGTCTATAGAATCTGTAGAAGAAATCTATAGAAAAAATATGTCAATTCGTATAAATGAGTAGAAAACGAATTCAAGACTTGCAGATGATAATAAAGGTATATTAGAATCATATGACGTTAAAACCTTTGCTTTTATAAATTAAAAAGAGTTTTTCGACAAAGATAGTTGCAGCAACTAAAAACTAAATATTTTTAAGTAGTTTGTATAGGTAAGAGAGTAAAGTATTAAACTTATCTTTATTCAATTAGTTTTTGTCGTAATTAATGTATAAACTTTAAAATAGTAATTTGAAAACAACTGGTCAGAAACTTTAAGAATGCTTTTTTCAGTACTTTTACCGAAGCATTTTTAAAGGAAGTGTTTTAAAGCTAATAAATATTTACAAATAACAAAAATATAAAAAAACTATACGCTCGTCTTATGCATATTTTAATAACTGCAACCATTTGGTTTACAATTAAGTGCTAAAAACATTGAGACTAGATGAAATGTAGGTGTGTTACTGATAGGAACATACTCTTGATAGCATGCAGCACTCATGAATTA